TGTTTTGTTATAAAAGCTCTAACGAAACAACATACTTGTGAAAAAATGGTGTTCTTAAAGCATTTTAACTTGCTCTTTTGCTGTCCTCACAATCTCTGTAGTATCCATGAAAGTAAAGTCTTAAATTATAGTGAGAACCATCAGCCTCACAACCACTGGAAGGGGCAGACAAGATCAAAATAACTCCAAAACTTCCTTCCCAGAGAACTGTCATTATTAGACCTGCCTAGCAATATCTTGAAAGACCCTACTCAAAAGGCTATCTTCCCTTGATTTTGTGACTGCCTGATACAGTAGGGGATAGTTGGGGAAACTAGTAAGTTAACCAAAAGCTTAAGATAAAAATCTGGTGAGTAACATTTCCACAGGAAGTAAGAAAACTGACACATTCCTAACAAAATAGAAGCCTGTATATTCCGGGCTGTATGTATGTCCAGGACGTGTGCCCTCTCAGTAAATACCAAGAAGCCTCATGTTCTCACCTCTAACTGAAATTGAGATTCTACATAGCATAAAGTCAATGCTAAGGTAGAACTGTCAAATACATAGCTAAAAATAAAAGATACTAAAAATTAAAGATACAATCCACAATATGTACACATAGACCTCAGCAAAGACTAAGCTGTTTAATTTAATTAGAGTTCTATATAATCATTAGCCAAAGACGACTGTTCAGAAAGTTCAGTGATTATGCATGTAAAGAATAAATAATTTACACAATTAGTTCAAAAAAGTCACTAAACAAACAAAAAAGATAGGCAAACAACATCATAGTCTGGGAGGAAAGAAGAATCTTAGAGAGTTGTTTTGCTATATTATTAATATTTCCAGTTTTCAATTAAAACATAAACATGCAAAAAAAGAGAAAAAAGTTCAATTACATACATAGAAAAAGAGCAGCCAATTGAAACTTACCCTAAAATTAAGATCGAATATTGGGCTTACTGCATAAATACATATTAAATTAGCTATTTTAAATATAGTACAAGAAAACAATGTCTAAAGAAATAAAAAAAGTATGAGATGATCATCTCCCTAAACAGAGAATATCAACAAAGAGATAAATTATAAAAGAACAATTAAAATATAATAATTGGGGCTGGGATGTGGCTCAATCTGTAGCGTGCTTGCCTGGCATGCTCGGGGCGCTGGGCACCACATAAAAATTAAAAAAAAAAGATGTTGTGTCCACTGAAAACTAAAAAATAAATATTAAAAAAGTTCTCTCTCTCTCTCTCTCTCTCTCTCTCTCTCTCTCTTTAAAAAAAATATAATTGAGGGCCGGGGTTGTGGCTCAGCAGTAGAGCACTCGCCTAACAAGTGTGAGGCCCTGGGTTCGATCCTCAGCACCACATAAAAATAAATAAAATAAAGGTATTGTGTCCAGCTACAACTAAAAAAATAAATATTTTTAAAAATATAATAATTGAAATAAAAAAATTATCTAAAAGGAATCAACAGCTTGATCAGGCAGAAGAATCAGTGAATTTTAAGATAAACAATTTGGGGTTATCCAGTCTGAAGAAAAAAAGAAATAAAGATAAATGAATAAAGACTTAGAGATATGAGAGAAATCATCCAATCATGAGTACATGCATAATAATGAGTGTTCCATGAAGAGCGGGGAGAGACACGAAAGATATTTAAAGAAATAATGATAAACACGTCCCCAAAAGGATGAATAGTATGAATCTACAAATCCAAGAAGTTCAATGAACTCTAATTAAAATAAACCCAAAGAAATTTATACACAGGTACATAATTAAGTCCATAAACAAAAATATAATACTGGTAGCAACAAAGAAAGGAACTAACAACATACCAGTGGTCTTCAATTACTAGCTTATTTCTCATTTGAAGACAATGAAACAGAAAATCTGAACAGACCTAAAACAACCACAGTGATTAAATTAGTATTCAAAAAACTTCCACAAAGAAAAATCCAGTACCAGATGGATTCACTGGTAAATTCTACCAAAAGACTAAAGCACAATTAACAATAATCCTTCATAAACTTTTTCAAAAAAATAGAAGAGGAGGGAAAACATTCCAACTTGTTCTACAAATCCAATATTATTCTAAAACCAAAATCAAATGAAGATATCACAAGAAAACTACAGATCAAATTTCCTTATGAATCTAGAGGTATAAAAATCATCAAAATACTGGCAACCAAATCTGGCAGTATTAATAAAAAAGGGACTATATATCACAGTCAACTAAGATTTATTCCAGGAATTCGATGCTGATTCAGAATACTAAAATTTGTCAATATAATGCAACATGTTAACAGAAGCAAGGATTAAAAAACAAATGATCATTTCCAAAGATGTGAAAAATTTGACAAAATCTAACACTCTCTCTCCCTCCCTTACACACACACACATACGCTTGTGCGCGCGCGCGCGCACACACACACACACACACACACAGAGTAAAACTGAACAGAGTGAACTTACTCAACCTAATTAAGGACATCTATTTTAAAAAAAAACTCATACCTACCATCCAACTTACTGAAAACTTTTCCTTCCCTAAGATCAGGAGCAAGACAAAGATAATCTGTTATCATCAATATTGAGGTTCTACCTAAGAAGCTGGCATGAAAATATAAAAGGAATTCAGATTGGAAAGGAAGGAAATAGAACTATCTCCATTTGTAGATGTCAAAAAAATTTTAATGAACCACCCTAAAAATAGAGCTAAATAATGAATAAAGCAAGATGGCAGGATATGACCAAAATATCATCTGTATTTCTACAATTTGTCAATGAATAATCCACAAACTAAATAAAATCCTTCTATTTACAACAGCATCAAAAGTAGTAAAATATTTAGTAAAAAAACTGAACAAAAGAAAAGTTAAAACTTGCACACTGAACACTACAAAACATCATAAAGTGAAATTAAAGAAAACTTAAATAGAAAGATAGTCCATATTCCTGGATTGAAAATACTTAAAATTGTTAAGATGACAAAAATAGATCTGCAGAGTCAATGCAATTCCTACTTTAAGACCAAGGGACTTCTTGCAGAAACTGACACACTAAATCAAGAGTTGATATGGAAATGCAAGAATAACCATAACATTCTGTAAAAGAAAAAAATTTATTAAAGATTTACACTTCATAGCTCAAAAATTTATTACAAAGCAACAATAGCCAAGACAACAAGGTATTGACCAGAGGAAATATATATATGAATGAAAATATCAATTGTATTTCTAGTAGTGAACAATCCATGAACTAAATAAAATTCTTCCATTTATAACAGCATCAAAATAATAAAATATTTAGAAATAAGGCTAGCAAAAGAAATGTAAGACTTGTACACTGAAAACTACAAAACATTCAGAACAAAAATTAATATACATCAATGGCGCTCATAAATAAAACTCAAACTGCGGCTAATCATTTTTTAAGAAGGGTACCAAGACAATTAAATACAGAGAAAATAGTATCTTCAACAAATGGTACTAGAACAATTAGGTAACAACCACATGCTAAAGAAGGAATTTGATCTCTCTCTTGCATCATAAAAATTAATTCAAAATGGATCAAAGACCTAAATAAAAGAGCTAAAACAATGAAACTCATATGAAGAAACATATAAGGAAATTATTGCTCCATTAGTGATCACAACTGGTTAGGTGATAATTTCTTAAATATGACACCAGAAGTACCAGAAAAAAATAGAAATTAGACTTTATCAAACTTTAAAATGTGAATTTCAAAAGATACATTAATAAAGTTAAAATACAATCCACGTAATTGGAGAAAATATTTGTAAATCATTTGTATGGTATGTGTCCAACACTCAGAATATATAAAGAACACTATAACTCAACAACAACCAAAAATATTTTAAAAACAGGAAAAAGATCTAAATAGCCATTTTTGCAAAACGGTATTCACATGGCCATAAACATAAAATCATTAGCTATTAGAGAAATACAAATCAAAATCACAAGATTCCACTTTATACACATTAGGATAGCTGTAAACAAAAAAAAGATGGATAGTATCAAGTATTGATGAGGATGTTGGAAAGTTTGAACCCTCTAACATTACTAGTGGTGAAAGTAAGCTAGTTCAGGCTCTTTGAAAATTAGTTTGGCAGTTTTTCAAAATGTTAAAAATAGGATCATCTGTTTTCTAGCAAATCCCATAGGAAAATGCCTAAGAGAAAGGAAAACAAACATTTATACGAAATAAAATATTATTCAACTGCAAAAAGGAAGGAAGTACTTACATATTGTATAACATGATAAGCCTCAAAGACCTTAAACTAAGTGAATGAACCCAGACACAAAAGGCTACTACAATTACAATTATAATTCCACTAATGTCTGGAATTGGCAAATCTCCACAAACAGGAAGCCAATTTGTTGTTTCCAGGGGCTGGAAAGTGATGACCTAATGAGTATTATGTTTTTATTGAGAGTGATGAAAATGTGATGTTAATATAGTGGGGATGTTATCTAACATTGCCAACACACCAATTTTATGGAAAATGAATTTATACCCTGATAAAAATGCAAAAACAAAGTTGTGGCTTCTGTGTCTCATGTGACTTTCATAAGATTTTGTAAATCCAAAATCTCGTTTAAAATGTTTTAGCATGTTTAAATTGTCCATATTTAATATTATAGCTAGTATTATACAATAAGCAAAAACAATATTGGCAACTTCAGCTAAATTTTAGAATTATCCTTTGCATACTTATGTCATTATAGCATAAAAATTAAACTTTGAAGAATCCAACTATATGGAAAGAACTTTAATCCATTTCTGTAGAAGGACATGAACTTTAGAAGACAGGAGAACTAGGAAACATTAGCCTTTTGGAAAACACAAAATTTAAATCACAAAAATGGCAAGTTATATTCCATGTATGTATGATATGTCAAAAATAAATTCTTAATGTCATGTATAACTAAAAAGAAAAAATGTAAACAAATGTTAACTTTTTAAAATTATTGTGAGTCTATATATGAATACCTGGAAAATGTGATGATCCCACTATTTTCACTGACTCTTGGGTCAATCGAAAAGTTCTTGGAAATCGAACCAAATATTCAACTATGAAAGGCAAAAAGAAAGCAAAGGGTTAACAAATTTCCTCACTGGAAACTCCAAAACTTTAAAGTACACTTGATCTTACACAAAGGTGAAGCTCATAAATCCAGTTCCTCTTGTATCTCATATCTCTTTTCCAACTCTACTCACCTTCATGTGCCCTAATGAGTTTAATCTACCTACTGCCTTCTCCCTATTACATCTCATTTCTGGCTTTTTTCACATTCACTTAGAACACTATGTTTTAGTTTCTAAATTCCAAATCTCCTATCCCTCAAGACCCAAATCACAAATACTACCTCTTTCAAAACTCCTGTTTGTTCGTATTTGTCAGGATATCAGGATATCACTACCACCTCTGTTATGTCATTCATTCCACATTTTATTATAGTTGTTTATGGACAAATATAATTTTATTTATTATACATTCAATTGATGGAAGTATCAGTGTTTATATAAACTTATCAAAAAATAAAACAAAGCATTATACCATGTACATGGCAACTATTAAATAATTGTGAAATATATTGATATCCCTCATTTTTGAATGAACACGTTTGAAAGGGATAATGGTGAGAACAGAACAAGTGAGAAAATCAATATAAAAATACAGTATTACAAAGCACTATACCCAAGTACTCTCTAACAATAAAGAAGTAAAGCACAAATAAAAGAAAATGGTATTAAAAGCCAGAAGATCTGAGTTTAAATCCCACCACATACTGGTTTTAAGAAAGCCACTTTAAAGTTTAGGAGCCTAACTTTTCTCATCTGGAACTGGGACAATAATTCCACCTTACAGAGTTACTGTAGGACTAAATGGAATTTGTATAAATTATAAAATGCCATATAAATACATGGCCTTTAGTATTCATGGTTCACATATAAATATATTGACTCCTTATTCTGCTTCTTATACCCTCATTGGTCTGGTCTGATTAGTGGGTCAAAAAAAAAAAAAAAGACAAGGAACATATTTAAATGAAAACACTTCCTTTCATATTAGGTACAAAACCATGAACCACTTTCAAAAGTATCTTAATCCTGCAAATAAAGGACACTGGATATTCTCATAGATCAATTTTTCGATTCCAGATGACTGGAGTTTAGCATATCTTGTAAATCTCCACTCACTCTTTCTTTTCTCCACCTCATCTATCCCATGCTTACTTCCACATTCCTTCTACATTTTTCTTGGAGACCTTATTTTTTCATTCTCCTTTATTTGAACAAGTGTTGGCATTTTAGAAAGCCTCTTTTGTGCTTTTCATTCATCAATTCTTGGATTTTATTTTTAAGAAAGTCTAGAATATATAAACAAAAATAAAGTAGCCAAATATTTCCAGTTAAATTACAGTTCTATTACACTCTTAACTTTTTTCAGCACTTGTTTCTATCATGTTATTTTGAAATATCATAAATGTATTTTGTAAGAATATGGAAAAGCATGTCAGCTCTTCAGATGTCAAAACTTAAAAAAATCTCAGCATATTCTGCATTTTATATCTCCAGCCAATAGAGGGAGCTCCTGTATCACGGATATTTTAAAATCACAGCACACATACTATGGAATACATTGGCTCAGGACAATACATTATGGAACTCACAAAGAAATATAAAGCCAGTAAATGAACCATGGGTTTAATTTAGGAGTTTATTAATTCAGTTTAAATTTCAAACTTTTAACTCCAGGTGTTTGAGTGCTCTTCTATCTTCAAAAGATTAAAGATTTCCCAGTCATTCGCTCCTCTTCGCAAATACAGGGACTTTGTACGACCTCTACATAAAATACACTTTTTTGGTCAGGTATTAATTAAGTACAGTGTTTATATAAACCGGGTGCACGTGACACAGGAAAAACGTAATCAAGGGTGGAGTCACGGTTACCCAGCAGAGCTAGACCACGGAGCGCCGCCGACCCTCACCTGACGGGGGCGCCAGCACAAGAAAGGCGGAGAAGAGGAGGATGGCGGCTCGGGAGAGCGGGAAGCCCGAGGCCCGGGACCGCCGCCAGGTCCGCCACGCCCGGCCAGAAGCCGAGGCCTCCATCAATACGCCGCCGCCGCCGCCTGCCTACACTCCACGCAGAAGGTCGTTACGCGACGCGCGCTCACCCGCCGCCGGAAATTGGCGGGCGGTGGACCGGAAGGCGGACCGGACGGACTCGCCGCCACTTCCGCCGGAGCGGTAGGCTAGAGTTGTGTTGGTATGTCCGCTTGACTTTTGACACTAGGCGAGGAAGGAACACTCGCCGTTGCCCCGCGCTGAGCGTCCACTGAATCTTCCAGACAGCTCCGCTGCTGAGGGAATCCTCCAGCTCTTAAGCGACTTGTCGAAGATTCTGTATCTAGGCAAGGAATCCGGGAGCCCCCAAGCCCGGCGTCTTGGCCTTTTAGTAGCAATTATGGACAGAGGGAACCCCCTTTTTGCAAGATGGGATGTAGGCTGTGTCTTAGTGTTTGGGGTTCAACTCTGATCAACACACAAAACTTATGAGTTAATACACCTACAGTGCTCAGAGATTGCCTGGATCTCATTGTTGGCAACACGTACATTACTGACATATGGAATATACTGGAAGAAAAATGTAGTGAATTTGGGGAGCTAAAGGTAATGCTTTTAACGCCAAGATGCGGCTCGATGGAAAAATGGAAGAAAGGACCATAGATGGAATTGACTTTCGGACTCAGCCTGGGAAATCATCTTTCATCACCTAAATTTAGAAAAGCCTACTAAAACACCTATCAGCCTAAGAGTCTGTTTATAACAAGAATATATTTTTAGAGCAATTGAAATGGAATTATGCCTCTACTTTTTTGCTTCTGGAAGGATTTACCTGATAGTAGCAGAGCTATGATAAAAATGTCTCATGCAGTTGCTGCAAATACTTGAAGAATGAAGAGCAACTGAAGACTGCCTAACAACAATTGTATTGTCACCTTTATGTAATAAGAAGGAATGAGTGATATGAGTGGACTAATAACTCACTAGATATACTTTGAATATACTCATATATTTCAAACCTGGCAGCCTTACCAGTTATTTCAATCTCCTTTACTGTTGAGAAGTATATCTTAAAATTTTAATGGTTTTATATTACACCACAGATACCTTAACCTTTTGCTGTCTTAAAACTGACCTGATACACATGTCATATATCTGACTTATACAATTTTGCCTGAGTTGAATTTTGGCTTTACTAAGTGTGGTATGAGCTTTTATCTCATGTTATAATGTTTGAAATTCCCTTGGAGTCAGTTTTCCTGCAAGACTAAATTGTGTGGTTTAAAGCAGATTTTAAGTGAACTGCTATATTTCGAATTTAAATAAGATTTTATTGTTCATGTGGATGAATAAACTGATACCTTGTTGTAATTTTCTAGAATTAGTGTTAAAACCCTCATTGCTGTTCTTGAACACCATAGTAGCATTAGAGAAGTAAGGATTATCTAAAATGTAAAGGATGAGACTTTACTTTGAGTATAATTGGGATTACTTCCTTAAAAATTAGGCATACTAAATTATCTTTAATATAATACATGTTTACTTGCAGTAAACATGTACTTACATGCAGTAAATTTAAATTTAACACCTATTTAGACCACAAATATAAAGATACTTGTATCAGGAAAACGCTTTCATTTTAGTCACATCTATTCTTAAAATATACATTTTTACTAAACCAACTGCTTTATACTCCTTAACTTAACCATACAATATCAACTTATGCAAATTTTTAGATAAATGAACATAGTTGTCCTGAGTATTGGAGAAAAATGCATCATGGACACCTTACTACCAAGGTTTTCCTAAGAATTACATTATGATGTGCATAATAGTTCAGTGTATTAGAGTTCTAGCTGTTGCCCAGCACCAAGGGCTCTGCTTTTTTTCTGTCTTGTTCTTTTACTGCTTTGCTTCCCTATCCTCATTTTTATGGAAAAAGAATTTTTTCTACCGAAAATAAAGCCTTATTCTATCAACATTTAGAAAGATGAATCAAAAGTTTTATGCTAGATAAACACTAATCTTCAGTTACTGGAAATATAAGAATTTTTTTAGTTAAAAATTCATCAGAAGAATTTAATTTTCTGTCCTTATAAAAGAAGAAAGGCTATAGATATGGAGGTTCGGTGCAAACCTGGAAAGATAAGTATTCCTAATAGGTCTATCTCTTCAGGAAGAAAAACTGTTGAGAATGAAGATTACCCACACTACTCTGATCTCTTAAGAAAAATGAATATGCCCTTTGTGAAAGGATTTGAAGACAGACATGACTATGGCAGATTTGAAAAGAAATGTAATCCTGCCTTTCTTAAATTTCATCTTTACCCCCCTTCTGTCCTGCCAAACTATCATGTACACTATCCTTATCCTCCACCTTATGGGCCAGATTATCCATTATTTCCACTTCCAGATGATGTGCCCTTAGTTGATCCCAGTTCAGGATTTGTGAGTCCTGGTGGTGATGCTGATTTAAAGCCTGACATTGGCAGAACTATACCAAACCTGGCAGATTTCAGTGATGTGAAACCTCAACATCGAATTCCTAGACCAGACCCTGAATTTCCAACAACAATAAAAAGGCAAACAATTCTGTTCGAAGAACTGCAACAGAGTAGGAAGTGGAATTCCAGGCAAGTACCAGACATTTCCATCAGAGCAAAACTTGGAGGTAAATAAAGTAATATGGACTTTGTAACTCTTAAATACTCCAGTGAGAAAGAAAAACATGGATATAAAATATAGGATTTTAGCAGTCAAATTGACAAAATGATACCTGAATAGGGCATTTTTAAATTTTATATGTATATATATATATATACATATATATATATATATATATATATATTTAATTGTAGTTGGACACAATATCTTTATTTTTATGTGGTACTGAGGATCGAACCCAGTGCCTCACACATGTGAGGCGGGCACTCTGCTGTTGAGCTACAGATCCAGCCCAAATTATGTATTTTTTTTTAATTATACAATGATAAATATAAATCTATTTGCAAAATAAAATTTAATTTAAAAAGAAAAAATATTTATTAAGTTTAAGTCAGGAAAAAAGGTATAACGATCATTTATTTTAGATATATAGATATTATTTTACCACAAAGGAATTTATGTACTACATTGGTAATTGTGTAGCAAGCCTCGTTATATAAGTCTCTCACTTGAAAACAATAATTTACTGATGGTTGTTAAACAGGTCACAGGAGCTCAAATTAAGTGGGAACAAATGTGAAAGTTAATTTGGGGGTATAGTAAGAACAGAGATGAAGAGAAGCATCCCCTGCATAAATAGCTTTACAGGACCAGAACCAGGATTCATGACCTCTTACTGATATGTGCCACGTGGTTTCTCTGTAAGAGTTCCACTATATAATCACAGGCCTGGGCCCAGAAGTTTGGCGAGAATTAGCTCCATAGGAAACCCTCAGGGACTTTTTCCTGTATTAAAATATGTCTGATAGACAGGGAGGAAAAAAAAAGCTTTGAGTATGTGAAAAGGAAAAGGCCAAATGACATAGCAGGAAGTGCTTGAATTGCTCCAATGTCAAAGATGGCAATACCTTGCCATGGCTTTGTTTCAGCACCAACCAGACTGGAAGCTACCATGTGTTAGTATGGTAGGGATTCGTGGTTTTTGCCCTTTCTTCCTGGAGAAAGGCCATACAAGAAACCAGGAGAAGATAGGAATAAAGGAAAAAGTAATCAAAATGAAAATCCCCACAAGATAACTCCTCAGCCCTACCATCCAGAGACTGTTAGGCCAGAAGGAGAATTTTAAGAGATTTAAGCATGAGAGTTTTGATTTTAATTTATACTCATTGTGGTTTTAGCATTTAGACTCACAGAAATTTCTGAGTTACAGAATTTTTCTATAAAAAGTATAAAAATTACAACAACCTATCTTAAGAATCATTCTATATTCCATTGGAAATACCCTCTATGGAAATATTGTATTACTGAGAATCAAATGTACTTATATCTACAAGTGACAAATACTGTCTTAGGTGCTAAAAATGTTTACGTATTGGCAATGAGGGAAATACCGATAGTTCAAGTTCATCTCACCGACCTAATACATTCTTACCGATTATGAACTACAGATTCTTTTCTAGTCTATCAAGAAAGGAGCTTGAACTCAACCTTTGCAAACATTTCAATGCATAATACTATATTTATTCTAAGGTAACTAAAGTCATTCTTCTCATTTAATTCAAGAATGGCATTTACCTTGTAAGCTGAAAACTCCAGTTTAGTATAATTTTAAAGGAAATATTGTCAATTTGTGTAAGTTCTTCTCAGAGTGGACTCTTAAAACATTACTCCAAGAAGTTTAAGTTGAAGAAGTAGTTTGGTAAGCTACCAAATTACTGAAGTGTTGTTAAAAAGTCTTTGGCTCATCTGGTCTGTGTGTTTTACTGTTTGAATCAGTACCATAGGAATTCAGAGAATAGGCTCTAGGATCATGGCTATCTACTCTTTACACCTGCAATTCTCTTTATACCCATATATCCTTATTAAAATTCACATAATAATACTTCATAGTATAAGAAGTATTTGATATAATTCATGTAAAATATCTGAAGTAAGAAAGGAAACATAAGGTCAGATAGTATAATTTTTATTCACTTCTTACAAAAATTGAGGATAATAGTACTTATAAAAGTGTAAGAATTAAATGAATTAGGACAAGTAAAATTCCTAGTAAAATTCCTAGAACCTGGTAAAGGACTCAGTCCATCGTAAATATTATTATTATTAACCATAAACAGTTTCAAAGAATAATACTTGGGGATTGATTACAATATTTGTTTTAGAGTTTAAATGACTTTGTAGATCCTAGAAATAATTATTAATTTTAAATGGTACATTTAAATTTCTGATAAGCAATATCTCACAATTAATCACATCACATACCAGTATGCTTTTCAGTTAACTTTCACAAATACCAAAATAAGATCATAAAAACTTTTATTTATGACTTCTTGTCCTATGCCAACCCTGTCTAAACCTGTAACTGGGTTCAGTACTTCCTTTCTGTTCTAGTTTGACTCATTCACTCTAATCAACTGTTCTAAACTTATTCTAATTGTATTCAAAGGCTGTTTTAGACGTTGCCTATCATTGTAGCAGATAGCTCAGTCTTTCCTACCACAGAGAAAATAGAGGTGATCTATTATCACCTCCTTGATTTTCCTCCCATTTGCCTCCTGATAGCAATATTTGTACCTTTAAATGTGCCTTTTTTCTTTTATAAGCCATTATCTTAGCTCAAGGTATTATAACAAAATACCAAAGATTGGGTGGATAAATCAACAGACATTTATTTCTCAAAATTCGGGAGACTGGGATATCAAAGTTAAAGGAATAAATAGATTCAGTTCTTGGTGAAGGTCCTCTACCTGGTTTACATAGGCTGCCTTTATCCTGTGTCCTCAGATATCAGAGAGAAAGATCTCGTTTTTTATCCTTAAAAGGAAACCAATTATATTGTGGTAGTCTGACCCTCTTTACCTCATCTTAATCTAATTACTTCCCAAAGGCCCCAACTCCAAATAATATCACCCTGGGGGTTACAACTTCAACATGTGAATTTGAAGGGACACAAAAAATTGCTCCATAACAACCATCTTACCATTTTGAAGTATATAGTTCATTGGTATTAAGTATATTCACAATGTGCAAACATCACTACCATCGATCTCAAGAACGTGCTTCATCTTGCAAAACTGAAACTCTATATCCATTCAGGAATGACTGTGTAATTCCCTCTACCCATGAACACTGGCAGCCACCATTGTATTTTCTGGCATTGTTGATTTGACTACTTTAGTTTCATTGTGTAAGTAAAATCATACAGTATTTATCTTTTGTGACTGACTTATTTAGTTTAGTATAACGTCCTCAAGTTTCATCCATGATGTAGCATGTGTCAAAAATTCCTTCCTTCTCAAAGCTGCATAATATTCTATTTTATGTATGTACTACATTTTATTTACCAATTCACCCATCAATGTATAAATGGGATGCTTTACCTTTTGGTTATAATAAATGATACTGCTATGATTATGATTTGGCAAATTTCTTTTTGACACCTGGTTTTAATTTGGGGGAGGCAGTCCTCTTTAAAACCCAGAAATAGAAATGCTGAATCATATGGCATTCTATTTTTAACTTATTAGAAACTACCATACCATTTTCTGTTGGGCTGCATTATTTTTTTTACCACTAAAAATGCACAATTCCAGTTCCTTGAATTTATGGACTAAATCCTACTTGACCATGGTGCATAATCCTTTTAATGTGATGTTAACTATTGTTTGATAGTATTCCATGAAGGATTTTTGCATCAACATTTATCAAAGATATTTGGAATTTTCTTTACCTGTAGTGTCTTTGTCTGATTTTTATATTAATATAATGTTGGTCTTACATAATGAATTTGAAATGTATTCCTTTTCAATTTCTTTGAAAGGTTACAAGGAAGATTTGTGCTAATTCTTTAAATGTTTGGTAGGATTCACCAACGAAGCCATCTATTCCTAGGCTTTTATTTATTTTTTGTTTAGTACTGATTCTGTCTTTTTACATAGTTCATAGTTCATAGTTTCTGTTTCTTCATGATTCAGTTTGGGTAAGTCGTGGATGTCTCTAGGCCCTTCATCCATTTCATCTAGGTAACCCAGTTTGTTAGTGCACAATTATTCACAGAACTCTTTTACAATCATTTTTGTTTCTGTAAAACCAATTGTAATGACTCCTTCATTTCTGGGTTTAGTTTTTGGATTCTTTTCATTTTTACTTTGTCAATCTTGCTAAATGTTTGTCAACTTTGATGATTTTTTTTCAAAGAACAAAATTTTGGTTTCATTGATTTTCTCTGTTGTGTTTCCATTTTCATTTTTTAATACATGCTCTAATTTTTGTTATTTTCTTTCTCTATGGGATCATTTTACTACTCTTTATCTCACTCCTTTTGAGGTATAAATTTCAGTTTCTTTTAAAAGATTTTCCTTCTGTATTAATGTAGGTATTTATTACTATGAACTTCCCCCTTCTGATTTAGCTGCATTTCATAAATTTGGATGTGATGTGTTTTCATTTTCATTTGGCTTCATGTATTTCCTGATTTTCTTTCTGATTTCCTCTTTGATCCAAAGAAGACTCTTGTTTAATAGTGTATTGTATAATTTCCACATGTTTCTGAATTTTCCCATTTTATTTATTATTGATTCCTAGTTTATTTCCATTGTGGTCAGTAAAGGATTTTGGCATCATTTAAGTCTTAAATGTGTTAACACTGATTTTGTGAACTAACATGAAATATCCTGGAAAATGATTTTTGTTTCTTTAGTAAGGGTGTATTTTCTGCTGCTGTTGTGTGGAATGTTTTTTATATGTCTCTTAGGCACATTTGTTCTATGTGTTACTTAAATCCTCTGCTTCTTTATTGATCTTCTGTTTGGAGGTTACATCAATTATTGTAAGTGGTATATTGATATATCCTACTAGTACTGTAATGCTGTATATTTTTCTTTTAGTTCTGATTCTCTTGATCCTGCTGAGCACTTTATTTATTTGTGTGTGTGTGTGTATATAAATGACAGCAGAATGTATTATAATTCATATTATACATATAGAGCACAACTCTTCGTATCTCTCCTATAAAAAGTATATTCACACCAATTTGTATCTTAATACATGTACTTTGGATAATGATGTCCATCACATTCCACAATCATTTCTAACTCCCTGCCTCCTCCCTTCCCCTCCCACCCCTCTGCCCTGTCTAGAGTTCATCTATTCTTCCCATGCTCCCTCTCCCTAGCCCACTATGAATCAGTCTTCTTATATCAGAGAAAACATTCAGCATTTGTGTTTTGGGGGGGATTGACTTACTTCACTTAGCATTATCTTCTCCAACTCCATCCATTTACCTGCAAATGCCATGATTTTATTCTCTTTTATTGCTAAGTAATATTCTATTGTGTATATATGTCACATTTTTTATCCATTCATCTGCTGAAGGGCATCTAGGTTGGTTCCACAGTTTAGGTATTGTGAATTGTGCTGCTTATAAACGTTGATGTGGCTGTGTCCCTATAGTATCCTGTTTTTAAGTCCTTTGGATATAGAGAAGAGAGATAGCTGGGTCAAATGGTGGTTCCATTCCCAGTTTTCAAATGAATCTCCATACTGCTTTCCATATTGGCCGCACCAATTTGCAGTCCCACCAGCAATGTATGAGTGTACCTTTTCCTCCACATCCTCATCAACATTTATTGTTGTTTGTATTCGTAATAGCTACCATTCTGGCAGGAGTGAGATGAAATCTTATAGTAGTTTTGATTTGCATTTCTATAATTGCTAGAGATGATGAACATTTTTTCATATATTTGTTGATTGATTGTATATCCTTTTCTGAGAAGTGTCTGTTCAGGTCCTTGGCCCATTTATTGATTGAGTTACTTGGTTTTTTGGTGTGTATATTTTTGAGTTTTTATATACCCTAGATATTAGTGCTCTATTTGATGTGTGAGGGGTAAAAATTTGCTCCCAAAATGTAGGCTGTCTATTCACCTCATAGATTTTTTTTGGCTGAGAAGAAAATTTTTAATTTGAATCCATCCCATTTCTTGATTCTTGATTTTAATTCTTGCACTATAGGAGTCTTACTAAGGAAGTTGGGGCCTAATCCGATACGATGAAGTTTAGGGCCTACTTTTTCTTCTGTAAGATGCACAGTCTCTGGTTTAATTCCTAGGTCCTTGATCCACTTTTAGTTGTGCATGGTGAGAGATAGGGGTTTAATTTCATTTTATTGCATATGGATTTCCAGTTTTCCCAGCATCATTTGTTGAAGATGCTCTCTTTTCTCGAATGTATGTTTTTGCCACCTTTGTCTAATATAGGATAATTGTAATTTTGTGGGTTAGTCTCTGTGTCCTCTATTCTGCACTATTGGTCTACCAGTCTGTCTTGGTGTGCTGAGAAACTTTATGATAATTATTTTGAACTTTTGTCAGATAAACACATAACTCCACTTTGTTAGTATTATTCTCTAAAGATTTAACTTCTTCCTTTGTGTGGAGGATCTTTGCCTGATTCTTCATGTTCCTTGAGTCTCTTTGTAGCTAAGACAAAGCAGGCACCTCTTCTAGTCTTTGAGAACTGGCTTTGTTAACAAAGACCTCCACTCATCATCCTGATCAGAGTTTCTACCAGTTGTTTCCCTTTCAAGGGAAACTGAAAGATGATAATTTATGATGCTTGCTCTATGCCAAACGGGGTGAGCTATGGTTTCTAATACTCAGAATTCCATCTTATTCTACCACAGACAGCTGGACTTTACCAAACCTATTAGAGCTTCAGAGATATTCTGGTTCTTTAGGTATCTCCAGAGAAGTCAAGTGTTGAATCAACTCTTTCTATAATTTATGACTCTGGAACTATGGTACTACTTCTAGATGTAGATCTGTGATAAGCTACCAGCCTAATTCATTGTCTCTGTATTCTCCAAGTGTCTAGACTATGCCAGCACCACATAGCTCCAGAATGATAAGATAGATGGTATTTCTTTGGACAACCCTAAAGAAGGTGGAACACTGGACACCTGGATAAATTGACTCTCTTCTCAGGGATTTTTCACTGCTCACTTTGTACTAATTAAGCAAAGAATCTAGGATTTACTAGCCCAAACTGCCATTTTTTTACTCTCCTGGGTCTCTCATAGTGCCAATTCTTTTAGGACTCCCAGATTGATGCAAAAGAAGTCAGTTTTCTGGGGAGCACCCTTGGAAAAGATTTGAGTGCTGGAAATGGGAACCAACTTCCTTTTTCCCAGAGTAAAACAAGTTAAGGGGTCTCTTATATGACACTATACTAGAAGATAATAAATGATTTCTTTAAGCTAGTAGGTTTTGGGTGGTTCATTTTTCAGCAGTCGATGCTAAATCATTATGGAAGAAAGGACAGAATCAGAAAAGGACTTTGACCTAAATTTGATTATCCTGAAGTGGTAGCTATAATTCCTCATTCTGTTTCCTTCTCCACCTCTGTACAAAAATTACATTTTTTGTTTTATTTTCCTACTTTCCGCATTTTTCAAAGCAGTTGCTCAAATGACTCAAAATAAGATGAATGACAAAGAGCTATCCTGCATCTTTTGGCAGAGTGTTTCATTTGCCTATATATGTTATAGATAGAATTATGCATATGGTTCTCAAAATCAAAATGATTATGTGATTCATCACTACCTTTTTCCCTTTGCCTTGGCCACTCACCACTGCATCTGTATTAGTTTCCTCTAACATATTGTTGCAAACAAATTAGCTGCTTAAAACAATACCCATTAATTATATGAAAATATTGTGGAACAGAAATTTGTGTAACCTCAATTGAGTCTTCTGTTTAGGATCTAACCATTCAAGGTGTTATCTTGACTCTTACCTAAAATCTGCTTTCAATATCATTCAGATTGTTTTAGCCTACAGTTCCTTGCATCTGAAGGGTCTTCTTCCTTGTTCAGTGTCAGCCAGGGTACTCTCTTAGCCTCTGGAGGTCACCCACATCCTCCTTATGTAGCCTTCAAAGTCAGGAATGATATATTAGGCCCTTATGACATTCTAATCTCTCTTATTGGCCCTTCCAAATCCACAAACCATTCATCATCATACACTTGTTCCCCATCTTTTCCTTGCCAATGTCCTGTGCATATTCTATCTTGATATCCTAGTCAAATATTGACCAGGTCATAATTATTATTAAAGTGATATATGATCCAGAGTCATATATTATAGAAAGAGTTGATTCAACACTTGACTTTTCTGGAGATACCCAAAGAACTAGAAATTTTGCCCATTCCATTATATTCTTTAATTGTAGTTTTCATGTTTGATGGTAGTCATTAGAGGTGAGGAAAATGAAGCTCAAAAGAGTTACTAACCTATAGGATCTTGCCTGATTCTTCATTTTCCTTAGCTCTCTTTGTAGCTGTTTGTGTATTAGACAAGGCAGGCACCTCTTTGGTTCCTTAATAACTGGCCTTTTAAAAAAGAAAACCTATACTTATCATCCTGGTCAGAAATTTTATCAATTCTTTCCTTCTGAAGGGAAGCTGAGAGATGTGTATTTATTTTGCTTGCTGTATGCCAATTATAAGGTGAATTTCATTTTCCTTCATTAACTCATGTAGACTACTCTGGCACGTAGGCAAGAAAGAACATCTATTATTTGGACCCATGATCAATTAGTCTGTTATTGAGCTCCACCAGAGTAGGGATCCACAACTGGACACTGAGCTTCTGTGCTGTCACAGCCATCTCTTGCTATTTCTCTCTCCCATTCTTTCCCATCTTTGTACTGTCCACCTAGCTCCCAAATTCATGCAGCAAAGCTCTAAAGTAGAGGACAAAGTCAGAAGCCTCTTTTAACCCATGGGGTTGGAGAAATAATTGCTATGGAAATACCAGAAATACTACCATTATTTTTTTCCTAGAATAGTCTCCTATGCAAACCAGAGTAATTTCCCAGAGTTATCAATCACTCTAACAACCTCCAAGGGCACTTCATCTACGGGTTAAGTTCAAAGCTTTCCTCTGCTGATTTCTGTCTTATTTCTATTGATTACCTTCCACCATTCCCTGTATACCACTTCATGATCTACCTATAACTAGCATTTTATAATTCCTTAATGCTGTGATACTGTCACAGGATAGACCTATCATTGCAAATGTTATTTGCCTGCCTATATAATATATAATATGCATTTTTCAAATTAGGTCCTACTTAATTTTCAAGATAAGACCAGGTGTCATCTTCAAGAAAGTCTCTACTACCATGTCTGAATATTTCATTTGCTCTTGGGTACCTCAAAGTCAGAAACTTTTTTTTTCATCTTTATACATCCATGACCTTCCACTTTGGGTACAATAAGTACTTTTTGAAGACTGATTTTATATTTTGATGAAATATTTTATATTGGTAGTCTCTTGGGACTTTGATAATCTAGCATTAGCTAAATTAGGTGCTTAGTAATCACACTCATTTTATGTTATAATCATCCCCAGAATGTCCACATGTACAGATTTGTGGTACCCAACAGATCTCTTCCAATAATAAATCAAAAATACTAAATAAGTCTCCAATATTATAATTATACTAACTTACAAGTTCCAGAATTATTCTGCCTTCACTCCTGAGATATCCAGAAAAGATATTATATAATCCATTACAAATCAATTATCACCATAAAACTGAGGTCTCTAATAGGAAGTAGTGCTATTAGAAAAGAAATTTCTTCATTATGCTTTTAACCAAAGTACAGGAATTTTGGTTTTCAGGTTGGACAAGCCCACTAAAAGTTACTCCTTTACAACCTCTTCATGAAGGATGCTCAATAAATCACACCTACACATTTGATGAGGATGCAACATGTACAGTAAGACTGTCTTACTATGTGGGGTAATACAATATTTCTTATTAGTATATTTTATTATGTGTACTTGGTATTTTATTTCTCAGAAAATGACTACTATTTATAAAATACTTCTTATATGCCTGACACTGTGTAGACCTGCTCAGTTCTTGCATTTTTTTTTTTTTTTTTTTGCTTATATTCTGACATACCTACAATATTATAGGGAAGGGATGAGGGAGTAGATGCTGGTTATTCCCAACCCAAACTCCCTCTACTGGAGAGTGTACATAACCCAAGTAGCAGTGAGTGATGACTATTAAAAGGCTAACAAGCACTATCTGATAGACTGTACCCTCTCACAGTATATCATTTGAACACCAACCCTGACTCAATTCATGCTTCTAAATAAGGTAGTATTGTGAGAGAATGGAAAACAAAGACATTTAAAGTATATTCCATAAATGTTTCCTCTACTCAAGATATCATGGAAAGTCTTTATGTTTTTCCTCATCCTGTGCAATTTTCTTTTATTAAAAAAATCATGAAATCAGAAATCAGGGTAATTCAGCCTGTTTGGGGATGTTATGAATTCATAACAAATATAGAATGTGATTGGAAAGAAAATTAAATTTTGTATTTGTTAGTTTCACTTATTCCGTCTTTAAACTCATCAAAGGATTCATTACTTCTATAGGTAATTTCTATGAGAGAAAAGTGAATATAAAAAAGTGAAGATATTGGTGCCCTTTTTTTTTTCCATTTAAGCTACAAATTCATGGCAAAGTTCCAAGCCCTGTCTAGTTATTTTAGGATTAGAATTCTAAACTAGTGCTTCTAATGGGAATCTTTACTAGAATATTTATGTAAATTTGTTTTTATTAATGACAAATTAATCTAGATATTTTATTCCAGGAGTGGAAATTTAGTAACATGGGTCAAAATCTCCAGTGACAAAAACAATTAGATTAATACTTATTTTTTTTTAAGTAAGAGGTCGTAAGGTAGAGATAAAATTGTTATTGTTGGAGGGAAATTTCAATTTCCCAACAAGAGCATAAAATTCTAAAATTTAAGCCTGGCACTTAGGGTCACTTTGGCCTTGCAGGAATATATTGTTCCCAAATAAGTAACTGAAATTTTGATTCAAATTTTTGTTAATATCATAGGATCATAAGTTGAAGCTAATCTATATAGATCACCCATTACTTTGGGCTGATTACTTGTAATTCTGAGGTGTAGAAATAAGGAAAGATCAATAGTATAAATCCCTTGAATACTATACCATGGCTAAGTCAAGGTAAATGAGAAAACTTAAGTCTTGAACTAAAATGAAGGTGATCCCAGATTTCTATTATTCCCAGGAACTAGGCAGAGGCAAATAAAATTCTTCTTTGGAAGAAGATAATATTTTAATAAATCTCAAAGTATTTCTATGAATGACTTTTAAAATATCATGTTTGACATGCAATTAATAGTATCTAAACAAATAAGGATAAATAAATAAATAAATAAAAATGCAAAAAAAAAAAATAAGGATAAGTTCATCACATGTGAGAATCAATGGAAATTAGAGAAAAAATAAAGGGATAACACATTGATTACAAAACAATGTATATATCACATGATACTCATGGAGAAAAAGTTGAGCTCACAATTTTCACAAAGAAACTGTAAATTATCAAATATGAAATTAGCAAAGTGGGCGGTAGGGAGAATAGTCCCAGAACTGAAAAACACAATAAATGAAGAACTTGGTTGATGGGTACAATAATAAATGAAACATAGTAGGAAAAGTAGAGAACTGATAGATAAGTCAGAAGAAACTATACAATGTCATAATACAATATACAAAAATGTAGAAAATAGAGAAGTAAAAGTCAGAAACATAAACAATAGAATGAGAAAAAATAGATGTGCTTATTGGGAAGCTCAAAAAAAGTGAGATAGAATAGGGCAAAAGAGGCATGTGAAGGTACAGTTGTTATATCTTTATTTATTTCTGGGGCTCTCAGAAGCACCCTTTCACATTCTCTGCTGTATATTGAGGTCAGACTGTGGTTCCACACAAGTAAGCCAAAGGTAACAGTGATGATAACATTTGTGACAGTGGCAGAACCAACACCAATGGTATTGGCAGAAAAAGTTTCAAAACAGACACAAGTCATGGAGAACATGAGAATGGAAAGAAATAGAAAATTTCAGAAAGTTTGCCTTTTTGCATATTTTTTTTGTTTTTTTTAATTGGTTGTTCAAAACATTACAAAGCTCTTGACATATCATATTTCATACATTTGATTCAAGTGGGTTTTGAACTCCCAATTTTACCCCAAATACAGATTGCAGAATCACGTCGGTTACACATCTACATTTTTACATAATGCCCTATTAGTAACTGTTGTATTCTGCTACCTTTCCTATCCTCTACTATCTCCCCTCCCCTCCCCTCCCATCTTCTCTCTCTACCCCATCTACTGTAATTCATTTCTCTCCTTGTTTATTTTCCCATTCCCCTCACAACCTCTTATATGTAATTTTGTATAACAATGAGGATCTCCCTCCATTACCATGCAATTTCCCTTTTCTTTCCCTTTCCCTCCCACCTCATGTATCTGTTTAATGTTAATCTTTTCTTCCTGCTCTTCCTCCCTTTGCATATTTTTTAAGTAATTGCTTTAATTGAAATCTGAACATCAGTAGTATCTTTTGTTCGGTTGAAATTTAGGAAATTGAGGCTTACATTATACTATTGGTATTGAAGAATCTTACACTAGGTTTTACTAGCATTTTATTAGGGCATAAATATAGTTCTGCTTCAATGTCATTAGTCCTGTCAGAAGTACTTAAAAACATCTCAATTAGAAGAAAGAATTCCATTGCATCAGATTCTAAGAACAAATAGAGGATAATAATAGAAGCAAGATAATAGATACTAGAAAAAAGAATATAATTTCAGAAAATTATATAGATTGTTATTCTGTGGACCTAGAATCCAAAACACTCCAAAAAACTGAAGATGCATAAAATATGGAAGCTTATAGGACTCTAAGTGGAAGAGATAGTATATTAGAAAAATTCATATCCCAATGAAAATTATACCATAATGTCAATCATATAATATACCAACATGATATTAAAAAAGAATATGACCCACAATGCATAAATTTCTGCTACCACTAGAGAAGAATTAAGCACAATTTCTGAAGTAATTGCCTCCATGATAAAGAAGAACAAATTGGGATAGATTACAGAGTAAAATAATCTGAACAGTGATATTTTGCATTGATTGTATCTTCGCTGGTATTTTTTGCCAGCAATTACTAAATGAGTTTCAAATATACTGCTTAAAAACATAAAGCTTAAGATGTTTGCAACATTTATCTACCTAATCAGGAAAAATTCAGAAAAAAATCACAAATATTTCGAGGGAATTTGGAAATGACTATACTTAAATTACATTTCAAAATAAAGGGGTAGTGTGTAAAATATCTCTTAGGACATAAGCAAAATACATGGGCTACTATAGTGCAAAATGATACCTTGCATGTCATATTGGTAATATCACAGCTACAGTCATTAGGCATTTGTTTAAACATAGAAAACATACATAATTACTGGTGTTTGAGTATATTTGCCCTTTGCTGATTAAGCAACATTTCATCAATACTTTTAGTATTAAATTGTTTTTATGAAATAGCCATTAAGGCTCTCTCCATTGGTATTGATTGATTATCAAAGTATTAAAAATTACCCTGGTTTTCCTATAAATGAAGTGTGAACTATTTTAATTTTTATGATGAAGGTTTTTTATATGATTTGTCTATTTATGGCTAACAAATATTTTTTTTAGAAACATTTATTTTAAAAAATAAAGTAGGTACAACGTCATAATCACTATCACTAAATAGCAATAAATGTTTTCCTTTGTGTCAGGGATAGCATTCAGTCATTATAATATTGTATTAATAAAGGGTGATTATTTTTTATTAGGATCAAAATCAAACAGACTTTATATTTTACCATGTATACTTCAAACATAGCATTTCAATAATTTCTGCATGTGACTCAATACATTAGGTAACCCCCCTCTCCAAATAAGCTGGTAAGAAAGTTGTGATTATTTTGAATCATTAAAATACAGCAATGATTTTGTTGATACAACACTGATATTTATTTGAATAAGAATAATTCATATTGTGGATTCCAGAATACTATTACTTTTATAAAGCAATATTTTTAGAAAAAAACTTAGGAGTAACATACCAAAAGAACTCTAATATTCTGTCATTTGGAATTCTATTCCCACTGAAATATATTTCAAAAATGAAGATTAAACGAGACACTTTTAAAAATTATTTTTATAAAGGAGACACTTTAGATAAATAAAATCAGAGTTTACTCAAAAGTAGGCAAAAACTAAAGAAAATGTTGAGCTATTCATCCATCAACAGAAAAAAGATACAGTTGGTCAGACACATAGGGAGGAATGGAATGTAAAAAAAATTAAACCCTATAAGGCTTTACTCAAAGAAGAGTAAAGCCTTATAGGGTTTAATTACATGCATAGCTAGAATTAAAATATGAGAATAATTTGGTATGTGTTTAGGGAAAGATCAGTGACATTCAGTGTAAAAGATTCTTCACATTTTGGGGGTCAAGGGTAAAAGTATTAATATTGTTAGTCATTGAAAATATAAGTATTTGTATTATTATTTGTAAGATAAAAACCAAATTAGTAGAAAAACGATATACAACACTAACAAAATTAATGGAAAATTGAGGCTAAAGAAAAAAGAGGTAGACATGGTAAAAAATATTAAGTAGTGGTTTTAAACTCGGGCGTAATCAGCAAAATAATTTTAAGTTGTGGAACCAATCTAGATGCCCTTCAGTAGATGAATGGATAAAGAAAATGTGGCATATATACATAATAGAATATTACTCATCGTTAAAAGAGAATAAAATCATGGCATTTTCAGGTAAATGGATGGAGTTGGAGTGAAGTTATCCAATCCCCCCCCCCA